TTATTCGACTGATTAGGGTTAGTTTAGCATCTGCCCGGGAGATTTCGTCTAACGTCTTAGTCCTTGCATACCATCCGATGGATTAGGGTTAGTAACTCGTTCATTTACATAAGTTAAGAAATTCAGTTGTTTCTGTAATTTTTCCAAGATCATATACATGTAATTCAGCTTTAAAGACATTTCGTTCGTTTGTTTACATGGAAGAATGGCTAAGTCCGAAAGAAATGACACTAAGCATGCGCCGCACGTGCTTCGTTCAGAATTATTCTTTGACGATTTTTTTCATGAATAAACAGTAGTTATTGATTCTTTTCAGAGAACGAGGTTAAAAACTTTGTTTAAAAACAAAGTTTTAAACTAAACTTTTAACCGAAGAATTCAGTTTTGGGGTCAAAAGGCCAAAAAACCTCGTATTAAAAATTTTTTTCGATCGCTCACGCGATCTCATATATACTGAAGTCACCTTCGGCGACACTACATTTTAGCGCGTTTTTCTGGGGACCGGTAAAGTAAAGTCGTTCCGATTTTTCCATATATATTTCAATGTAAAACTTGGATTCCCCATTATGGCCCCGCCCTATCCCCAGGGGTAATGATTTGGACAATTTGGACCTACACTATTCCAGGATGCTTCCATGTAAGTTTCAGCTTTTCTGGCCCAGTGGTTCTTGAGAAGAAGATTTTTTTAATGACCCCACCCTACTTTTGTATTTTCTTAATTATTTCCCCTTGGGAGGGAACTTGGCCCTTTAATTTAATAATTTAAATTCCCCTTCATTCAGGGATGCTTTGTGCCAAGTTTGGATAAAATTGGCCCAGTGGTTTATTGAGAAGAAGTTGAAAATGTGAAAAGTTTACAGACAGACAGACAGAAGGGCGGACAACGGGTGATCAGAAAATTCACTTGAGCTTTCCGCTCAGGAGAGCTAAAAACTTAGTGAAGAATATCAAAAGTTTCAATTTTGAATAGATATTTTGAGGATTTTCTATGAAAATATTAACAAATCAATTTCGAATTTGCCCACATCCTTCAGAAAAAAGTTAAGTTAGCTTCTTGTTACATAATTCTCCAAATCTAAACTGTTTACCTGCTATTTTTAGAATAATATTTAAAACTGACAAAAACAGATATAAAATTATGGTTGATGTCTTAAAATTATTACAAAACAGTGTTTTGAAAGTGTCGGAAAAATTCATTTTTGAAATATCAAAATTTTCAAAAATTTTTCATAAAATTGCAAAAAAAGTACCATGGTAAAAAATAAGCAGATGGTATAGTCTTCAAATCAGTTAAACAGATCCCAAGTCAGTATGTTTGAAAAATACAAAACTTTTGGTCCATTAGAATTTTGTGTCTGTGTGTATGAAATGCCTCATAGATTTGACAGACAGAGTGCATAGAACAGTGTTGTCAAACCAGGCTGAACAGTATTATATCTACCCGTACGAAACAGTCCGGGCGGCTTAGACACGGCTTAGGCACGGATTCCGTTCCAGAAACCCGTGCTTATAAAATTCCTGCTCCTATGTAAAGTATGTATGGAAAGCCGTGCCTGAAAGTGGTTGAGGCACGGACACGGCACGGGATATTGGCCGAATTATTTAAATGAGATCACACGGTTTTAGAAAATCCGTGTCGGAAAGCCGTGCTTGTTTCCATATATGGACTCACGGATTCTTTAAACCCGTGTCTGAAACCCGTGTCCTTTTCCATATATGGAGACACGGATTTTTGGAAACCCGTGTCAAAAAAGCCGTGTGACATACCATATATGGAGTCACGGGATCTGTGCTTTTGTCTAGATCTAGGTCAGGGCTTGTAGAGAATCTCCTGATGTAACTGCATGTGAATGCCAAAATGGTGACTGAAACCAAACTTCACAATGTTTTGTGTTATCATTATGCTTAGCTTTAGAATTTTAAAAGTTGAAAAACTTATATGAGTGTGTCCTGATTTACTTTCTGTTAAAGATTCAGATTGCTTTATCAGTTACAATCCATGCTAGTTTTTAATTAAGAATTTAATTCATTAAATGTACAGTTCTGGGAATTGTAATTTTATCTTAGTTTGGACAATCTGAGAAAGAATTTAATTTAAATAAACCTTTTTGTAACACAGTGATGACACATAAAATGTTTGGGGATTAATAAGTGAGAGTACAACTAGAGTCATTCAAATAAACAGAGATGCAGTGTTTCATCATGTTCAAATCAACATTGCAAATACAGAGAGATCATGAAAATTGAAAATGAACTAATATTTATTCTATCTTAGACTTACTGCATTTAGTTTAAAAGTGAGGAAGTCCTCCAAGACTGATATAAATCAATTCCAACTGACATCTATTAGTTTAATATCCTTTAACTAGAGTAAAAAAGACACATTCTTAGCTCATGACCATGAATCCCTCCAATTCAATATTCAAATAAAGGAAGTTAAGATTGAGCATGCTCAGTAAAAAGCCGTGAGATATAAATAAATAGTTTGAAGCAAAAACCGCCAGAGTTAAAAACCATCTCCCAGGGACATGGATTCCGTGCCTCCTCACGGGTTTCTGTGAGTGAGGATTCCTCACTTTCAGACTCAAAAGCCGTGTCCGTGTCTTGGACATGCAGAACCCGTGCCGCTGTTTAAAAACCCGTGCGGATTCCGTGCCTTAGCCGTGCCCAAGCCGTGCCTATTCCGCCTCGAACTTTCGTACGGGTATTATGAGCCACAACAGAAAACTACAGAGTACTTAGTTTACTTAATTAATAAAAATAGAGCAGAGGATTATCAAGAAATTGAAGCATTTTCACTATATAATCAAAAGAGCCCCATCCTAACAGCAGAACCTCTAACCCTTGGGACCATGAAATTCACAATTTTGGAAGAGGCACCCCAGCTCATTATGATCATACACTTAGTTCACAAGCTCAATTAAGATCTAGGAGCACACGAGATAGGAGCCATGAAATTCATAATTTTTGAAGACACACCCTTGCTCATCATAAGTGGGCATTTATTTTCTGGCTTAACACTGAGTACCCAGGATCATCAGAATATTTTTCAGAAGATTGCAGTAATGCATTTTCACTGTATACGAGTCCCATTCTACCACAAAAACTTACCCTGTACTGTGTCCAGGAATTTCTCAAATTTTTTTTGGTATAGTGTTCAATGCTTATAACAATCATGCCAAAAGTTTGACTGCCTGATTGTCTGATAGTAATGAAGGTTTATAAAAATTTTGTTGACTTTGATGCTTTTAGCCCTACCCCTCAGGCACCCTGGGGGAAATGGGGCAAGGACCATGATTTTCATAATTTTTGTTTCCCTTCACTCACTAATGCTATATGTCGAAAAATTGAGAAGAAGCTTTAAATGATCAAATGTTAACAATGATGGATAAAAAGAGATACATGTAGCAGTAAGTAACCTGACTGACTAAAACTAGAAAACTGACCAGTCAGCACGGGCCCCGCCATGAGGTAGAATTATAAGGGAACAGCTTATGGAATGATTTAAGAAATATATGACGAATACGAAACAGCAACTATATTCTTAAAATTTCATGATAATTCCTGAATGTCCAAAAACCTGTAAATAATATCCTTGTATTTACATAAGGCAGTAAAGAACAACTCAACACTGAATGTATATCTAAATAATAGTGAAGCTTTTGTTATATAAAATGCCAGCCTTCAATGAATGCAAATACATATCATGAAGGCTTGACCTTAACTTCAAAACAAACAGCAGTTGCAGACTAAGATTTTCATTAATCTTAAAGTGACAGATAAAGATAAGCCTTCTAAATTTTCTGCAGCAAGCTAGATAATTAATCCCAAGGGATTAATTGTACTTCTCTCTCATCATTTTCTTCTTAATTATACCCCCCGCTTGAAAAGCGGGAGGGTATATAGTAATCGTTAATTCCGTCCGTCTGTACGTCTGTCCGTCCGTCCGTCCTTCCGTCTGTCCGTCCGTCCGTCTGTTACGCTTTGGGGTACCTATCTCTTATCCGCAACTCCTCTCATACCACTGAATGAAATTTGATGAAACTTTCACAGAATCTTTATTACATATTGCCATTGTGCACCTCCTATTTTACTTTTAGATCCGACACATATTTTGGGTTTCCCGGCCACAGCAAAACATGGACGTTGCCATTATACATGTTACTATATGGAGGCGGGGGGTATCATTTAGTGAGCTCATTGCTCACAGTACCTCTAGTTTATAATAAGAACTTTTTCAGTAATGATAGAATGAGGTTTTTATCCAACTGCCTTAAAAATTAATAATATTCTTGAATTTTCATGAAGAAAAAAAAAATAAACAAATAAAAATGAAAAATATATCTTCTTTAATCTATTTCTTCTTTTTAGAAGTCAATGAAATTAGAACTCATCGTGTAGGCTATTTCAACAAAAATAAAGTAAAAACATTTATACTTCAATCCACATTTCATAGTGTTCATAGCATTCCAAATGGACTTAACTTCAAAACAAACTTCATTTGCAGACAGAGGTGGTAATTAATCTCAATGTGACAGATAAAGATAATGCTTTGGATTTTCTTCAGAAGGAAAGCTAATTAATCCCATGGGGCTCATTCACTGCAGTATTCAGTTTACAACATTTTCAGAAGTTATCTCTCTTTCCCAATTCATTCTTATATAAAGTTAAAGAATCTACCCCACCACCCCAGCTCCAAACCAGAGGACATAGAGAAACAAACTTAGCATCAAAATATGTCTTTTTGCCTACTGAACTACCATACCAAATTTGAACTTAATTGGGCTACCATAAAAAAAGTTATTAGGAAAAAACAGAAAATTTGTGGACGGAAGAATGACAGACGGACAGACAGACGGACAGACAGACAGACAGACAGACAGAGTGATTACTATAGGGCACCCGCAAATCCTTGCGGGGCCCTAATAAACAAAATTGTGCACCCTTATATAGTTTACTTCTACAAGTTTTATTGATATTAGTCCACAACTAAAAAGAGATGAATACTGAAAGAATTTAATAAAAATTTCTAGTTGTAGGTACATGTCGCTATATCAATATCATACAAATATTTCAGTAATACCATTTCTTGAATCCTCAGATATCTTGAAAATATTACTCGGTTCCATAGAGTTTGAAATAACTAGGTTTAAATGTATAATTAAGGCCTTCTTTCTTGTGGTGAAAACAGCATCATGTGAAATAAAACACATTCTGTATAAACATGTATAAATCAGATCTTTTATCATAAAACTGCTCCTTTTATACCTGTTACTCTTTATGTTTATGATAAACATTATGAAACAACTTCTAGCTTATACTTTTATACCATATTATATAAATGTATTTGAACATCCATTTCATTGTAATAAAACGTTGAGTATGGTGTGTGTAAAAACTGCTATATTCTCTACATTTGAAGTTCAACATTTTAAAAAATCTTACTTGCAGTTGTTACTGTTTTAAGTGTATAAAAAGACATATACAGATATCATCATCATTCTTTTGTTAATGTTTCTTGCCAATGTAACACTTATTGACTATGAAAGAACAGAACATGCCTTTCAATCACAAAATCTAACAATCTGTACAGTTTTTCTAGACCTTTTCTTAGATATACTCTACAGATAATCATGCATCAGCTTGGGTTGAAGTTCTGTGTACAATATTTGGCATTTAGGTCCATAAGTATGTACTGGAACTGTTTTATCCTTTCCGGGGGCAGGTCTGCATGCATGTCTTCCTCCACGGGTGGGGGAGAGGGTGGTGGGGGTGCTGTAAAATAATTCCAGATACATTACAAACAGGTCGGTAGGTTTTCTGATATAAATTACTGATTAAAGTACAGTATAACAGAACTGATGCTTACAGCAAAGTGATTTCCATTCCCAGTGACATTCGAAATATCGAAATATAGCAAATATGTTACAACTCACTGCTGTTTTTACAACTTTTAATAAGTATATTCATTGTTTTAAAAACAGAAGATTTATAGGTTAGATTGTATTTATTTAAATAAGGAACTGATCTACACCATAACATATCACTAAAATGCAATCTTTCAAAACTAGAGGTACTGTGAGCAATGAGCTCACTAAACCCCCGCCTCCCATATAAATATAATGGCAGTATCCATGTTTTGCTCTGGAAAATTCAAAATATATGTCAGATCAAAAAGTAAAATAGGAGGTGCACAATGGCAATATGTAATAAAGATTCTGTGAAAGTTTCATTAAATTTCCTTCATTGGTATGAGAGGAGTTGCGGATAAGAGAAGGGTACCCCAAAGCGTAACAGACGGACGGACGGACAGACGGACGGACAGACGTACAGACGGACGGAATTAACGATTACTATATACCCTCCCGCTATTCAAGCGGGGGGTATAATAAATATACTGACTCTAGAACAACCATGCCATATTAACGTGAATAAGTATGACAGAGCTCCAGATAAGTGCGTATTTGCAAAAATACGCATTAAATTTTACAAAATACGATAGATTATACATGATTGTGGGACAGATTTAAAAGCCTTTTGGTGACCAGGAATATTCTAGTAATGACGACGACGATCTCCATTTTGGGAGGAAGAATCGGAGATTTAGATTAAAATCAATTTCCATGTAGAGAGACTATGCTCTTGGCATAACCTTTTTTATTATGGGTTCATAGCTAATTTTTCATCTCTCTCATATTAACGAAGATTCTTTCAGTTTACTCTTGATACAATATCTTAAATGAAGGAAAACTTATCTGTGTCTCTGACATACCTTGACCTACTGTATAATCTTCCTTGTCAAAAAAGAATGCTTCCCAAACTTAGTCAAAAGTCTTGTTGTTATTTACAAAATTTATTTAAACTAGAGGTACTGTGAGCAATGAGCTCACTAAATGATACCCCCCGCCTCCCATATGAATATAATGGCAGTGTCCATGTTTTGCTCTGGAAAATCAAAAATATATGTCAGATCAAAAAGTAAAATAGGAGGTGCACAATGGCAATATGTAATTAAGAATCTGTGAAAGTTTCATTAAATTTCCTTCAATGGTATGAGAGGAGTTGCGGATAAGAGATGGGTACCCCAAAGCGTAACAGACGGACGGACGGAAATACCGATTACTATATACCCTCCCACTTTTCAAGCGGGGGGTATAATAAATACAGTAACTGACCTTTGAAGTTTTTCCCTCTTCAAAAACTCATACTTCGATTACAAGCTCAAAATAAAGGCCAAAACATTTCTATATAGACAAAATACTCTTCAATCATTTTGCTGAAAATTAAAATCTGCATTGATTTGAAAATCAGGGAGTAAATACAGCTCTGAGACTGAGTATGAACAGTTTATATGGAATTACATATGTAATATTGAATTGATAAAATATTAATTTTTGGTTTAATATTATGGATATAAAAAGTTTTTTTAAGATCATGCTAATCATTATTGTTTAAAATCTTGTAGATTAACTCCTTTGGCTCATGAATCTGGAATCTTATTTATGTTTTACATGTATTGGCATGACTATGGTACAGCTGTGAGGCTCTAGAAGTGATTGACATCGAAAGGATATAAAACTTGATGTCTAAATAATTTTTTTAACTTATTGTGTATTACTCAGATCATCAGATATTTGTGACACCTTGATTTTTTGTGAGATTGTCATTTTATGTCTGTAAGCATAATTTTAAATAAATTTGACATCAGTTCTATATATTCTTTCCTCATACAATTAAATGGAAGAATAAAATTTTCATGAGCAGATGGTCTTAAGATAAAAGTTTTCAAGAATTAAAAGAATTTACAATACATTTGAACATTGTAGAATGTCAATAAATAAAACTTTGAGGAATAACAGAACATTTATGAACAGACACAACTCTGTATATCACTAAATTTTCGCAACACCTTATTTTCGCAAGATAGTCATTGACTCTTGAATCAAGAGTCTTGATTAGCAAGACAAAATTTTCATGAATTATGGTTATTGTTCTATTTGATCTCAATGAATACTATTATATGCGAGAATTAAATTTTCACAAACACACTGTCTCATGTAACTACTCTCATGTAACTACATGTACTCGAAAATAAAATTCTCGTGAATAAAAAGTGGTTTAAAGTACAAAATATATGCTCTATATAGTAATATTACTTTTTGAGATGTTCCTGTCTGGTAGCAAGGGTTTATTGGGTGTTCCCCTGGGTCTCCCTCTACGACGCTTCACCGGACTGCTGTCTGAATTAGCTGGGGTAGGAGTGTTCTCCCCTTGTACATGGTGAGCAACTAACGACTGGGACTGGTAGTCAAGAGAAAAAATCATCTCATTTCAAAGTACAAAAAAAGTGGTAAAATTATTTAAGTATGATTGATTCATTGTGAAAACCCATTGCAGTTTTAACAAACTAATATTTCTATTTATGATGGATTAATGTTTGGTAAAACAAATGCATGAATGACAGAAATAAAATGAATTTAAAAATATACGAATTATGCGATTTTTGTGAAAGCAAGCAACGTGCTATATTACATTGTATTTACAAAACCATGTACATATATTATCTTTGAATTTTATTTAAGATAAATATTTAGAGATTCAATCTAATTAGAATTAGATGTTAGATCCGCTCACATACTCGCTACACTAACATCTAACAACATCCCATAGAGGGTCACTTCAGAGGTCAAATTCTTTCAACCAATCAAATTGTCGCTGGCAAAATCATCGGATATTTGTTGACGTAATCGAAGTAAATAAGTCTAGAGTTGTTCCGAATTTGACCTCTGACGTGACCCTCTATGGGATGTTGTTAGATGTTAGTGTAGTGAGTATGCGAACGGATCTAACATCTAATTTTAATTAGATTGTTAGAGATTTTGATTTCATATAGTAAAAATCTACACTGTACTATTTTATATAATTCACCTTTCTTCTTCCCCTTTTGGACTGAGTGTCTATGACCACAGAGTTAAAATAGTCCGGTCTCTGACTGTCTCTTCTGGTTCGCTCCGTCCGCCTTACTCGACCTGTAGGTGATTTATTGTCTGAAGAAATAATAAGATTTTCTTCAGTCATTTACATTGTATGAGGATGAAGTCCAGAGTATCAATTAAAGCCCATGAGCTCCATGTCCTAGTATACATTGAAGAAAAAATGACACAAGGTGACACTAGAAAGTTCAGAATGACCTTACCTGGTGATCCTGATATTATAGTTGGAAACTTCTTTGACCAGAACTGATGACCACAGGTACAAAACTTACAAGCAACGGGAATCTGTTATGAAAAATAAAAATAATAAATATCTAATAAACAAAACAAAGCAAATTATATTTCCCCACTTTAGGTGTCTTTTAGTGGGTGGGATGAAATTATTTAGGGCAATTTGTTAGCAAAAATAACAAAGAGAAGTAACATTATGACTGCAGATCATTAATTATCAAGGTTTCCTACAGTGTATAATAATTGTGACTACTGCACTTGCATCAAATAATGTGAATTATGTTACTTATAAGCACCAGACCAGTGTGTGGAATTGTGAAATTATCAACAAGGGAAGTTAATTAAATGTAGATAATCAACTGCAGAAGTGATTTACAGTATTGAACTTTGTCTCTGCATGTATAAATTCTATCAATAAGCCGTTATATCTGATCAGGATGAGATAGCCAATAATTAAATCTACCTCTGGATATGTATAAATCACAATATTTACATTTCCAAATGTTTCCCTTAATTAATACATGTTAAATGAACGTGCATAACTTACATATGATATTTGTTTTTACCTGTTTTTCACATTTTGGGCATTTCTTAACCACTGTTCTATCAAAACTACGTTTTCTTGCAACTCCTCTCATTGTTTCTCAAATCACAGAAAAAACAAACCGTTCGGAACACATCGCACAATCAAGTGAAAGTAGCGGTAACACTTATCACCGCAAAGCCCCTAAAACACCGAAATGTCCAAAGAAGTCACCAAATTGTTCTTTCGAATGTTTTTTTTTTTCCTTCATTTTTTTTCATAAAAAAATAATGCTCGAATTTTCATAAATAGCATAACTGGTGGTAAAAATAAATTATTTTCATGTGTTGCATCTCGAAGCGTATATGGTAGCCAACTAGTAGTTCAATGAAAGGGTGATAACTCGTATTGGTGATAGTCTGTCATGTATATAAAATATGATGACAACGGATTGTGATTGTTTCACGACCTTAAATTAATTAATGCTAAAAATCGTTTATAATCGTTTGTTGTACAGGACGAATTTTTTTTCCTTCATTCAAAGTATAAAATAGTTCTTCCATGGCAAATATGTACAACGGAAATTTAAAAATGTTATTTTTTTCTCTCATTGAAATATTTAGTTTTTAATGCAACGAAAATTTCCAATGTCAAAGTTGCAGCTCATATTGTTTTAATAATTTGTTTGTTTCAGGTTTTCCTTTTATGTCTCTTATATCTTCTCACAATGATTTTCCTTCTCTGTCTTTTATATTTTTGTCCTCTCTTTTTTTCAGGGACATAGATACATGTATATATTATACTATATACAATATAGGTGCCCCCCTTTTTAATCTTTTTTTCCAAACCAACGTTTTGCCTAGTAGCTAAGGTTATTTGTAGAGTAAATTTATATTTTATTAGATATTTTTCTTTTAAAGACCATATATTTATACTTTACTAAACACAAACACCCCCACCCACATAATTGTAAGTTTTTATTCTAAATTTTCAAAATATATGCATGTATCTAATAAAAATATTTATATTCTTTGTATGCGTTTAGCATTATTTAATTATATACTTATCACTATTTCTTTTATTGATTTTTATACCCCTCGCTTGAAAAGGGAGAGGGTATTAATAAATATAGTGATCGGGATGTCCGTCAGTCCGTCTGTATGTCCGTTCATTACGCTTTGGGGCACCCATCTATTCGCAACTCCTCTTATACCACTGAATGAAATTTTATGAAACTTTCACATTAGTTTTATTATATTGTATTTAGCGCCATTGTGACCTCTTATTTTACTTTTTGATTGGACATACATGTATATGCCAGGTTTCCGATAGCAATAAAATTGACATTGTCATTTTTCTATAATATTGAAGGGTATCCATCTCTCATCTGCAACTCCACCCTTACTAATGAATAAAATTAATAGTTTCAGAGATTCTTTATAGCATAATGCCAGTGTACATCTTCGAACTAATCATGCTAATTATAATTTACATGTACTTTTTATCTGACACTTATTTCGGGTCTCCCAGAGCAAAACAAAGACTTTGCCATTGTAATCATATTGGAGGCGGGGAGCTCAGTGCTCAGAGTATATATTGCTCTACTTTTCTGGTTGAATTTGTTACATCATTAGATACATTCCCAATCTGTTCAAATACTTTACTTACCATTCACTGATTGACATATACCTGATTATATAATATCACGTAATATTACACACCAGTCACATCGCAGTGAGATTGGCAGTCTGTGTATATACAGCAAACATATAATTCCAGACATCCATTATCAAGAAACACGATACAGATTTAATACAATTAATACAAAGTTTTCATCATTTATGGGAATGTTTGAAAAAACTCGAAAGATAAGGTTTACAATCTTTTTCAAAAAAAAATAAGAAAAATAAAAATAAATTTGAATAATTTTACTATTTTTCTTGAAACATTTCTCGTCTTGATAAAAATAAGAAATTGTATTCACTCGTTCATGGTTTCACAAATATTTTATCAACCGAAGTTGTATTTACGATTTCAAGCACTATAGCTGGTGGTACTTAAAATACACTTAAAATACATGAAAACCCCCCCACCCCCCCTTAAGGCGGCCCCCAGACCCCCTGCCTGAAAATCTTGGGATGTCAACCTAAAACATTTCTCTTGAATACTTTGCAGCACTTTGCCACTGATTCTGACACTAGTGTCTTCTTTAAACTAAACTGTAATAGGAAATCTCCCTTATACAAACGCCAAGCTTGTTTGACTTATTCCTGACTGCATGGGGCCATACAATTTTTAAGTATGACCAGTCAAGTATAATGCAAGAAAGACTGAATCTATTTAAAAAGAATTTAATGAGTGTAATAAAAATAATGTTAAAAAAATAATTAATGAGATTTCTGCTGCCATCCCTCCAGAGCCCTAGCGATTTTCTCCAGTGCTTCTACTGCCCTCTCTTCAAGTTGTAACTGTTTTCTCTTTAAGTCCAGGAGATCATTCATTTTATTGTCTTGAAAAATAAACAAGTTATCACATATATATTCAAGCATCAAGTTAGAGTCTACAAAATTTGCCCTTTTTTTCTACAAATGAAACAGAAATTGAGACTGAAATTCAACATTGAAATTATGACCCCATGGCAAAAGGTACCGGTACATGCACATCTATATTAATAGTGAAAAATAATCTATTTTAAAAAAAAACTTGGAAACACATCATGAAAAAAGAGAAATACAATATTTATACAGCAGAGGCTGACAAATAGATTTTTCAAGCACTTGCCCACGGGCAAGTGCATGGTCAAATTTCACTTGCCCTACTTCAATTTTTACTTGCCCCACCAGCATTTTATATTCATCATAATGAATTAATTTGTCTCTAAATAAAAAAAAAATTAGCCTCGGATTGTTATTTTGAATATTGGCGACATTTAAAACCACCTGTCATTAAGTAGTACGTACCATACAATCTGTTGATTGATTGTATGCTGTTTTACGTCCCGTTGCAGAATAATATTTTCTTTCATATAGAGACGTAAAATTGCTATCATATTTCACCTATAGTCATAATATCTGTTATTTGTTTAAAATAATGGTTTCGAACCTTTGTTTTTTCTTTTCTCATACTTGGTATGCTTAGACAGTTTTTCACTAAAATTGTTATGGACGATGTACTTATCATCAGCTTTTGATAGTTTTCGGCCTCATAACTGTCAAAACTTTCTCCATTTCTCTCATGCCAATTTGTCACTTTCAATTTAGTACAGATACATGTACTTAAAACTTTCGGTAAAACTTGTAATGCATTGCATAATGATGAAACAATTAAACTGGTTCGCATACGAAGTGTGACTAAGAAAGACTCTTACAACAAGATAATTTTAATTTCGTGGAAAACTACAATATTTTTAAAAATATTTATTGATTGATTAGTTTTTAAGTCACTTGCCCATGGGCAAGTGCCCATTAAAAATTCACTTGCCCGCCTCTAAAATTCACTAGCCCCGGGCGTCGGGCAATGGGATTTGTCAGAGCCTGTACAGTATATTGATCGACGTAGTCAATCGTTTTTAAAGTTCTATTAAATTTGGAAATGATTTTACAAAAAATTCTATTTTTCTATATACAAATAATGTCTATCTCTGTTTTTATAAAAAAAAAAAATGAACTGTGAATCTTTACATATAATTTCATTTTGTTAATTTTGAAAGCAGCTTGACTAGAATTGTTGTAATACACTACAGAAATATTGAATTAAATAACAATATTTCAATTAAACAGAGGAACAGTCTCTGTAATTTTACATCAAGAAAGAACTAAATTCTACAGTTTGGATTCATAAAGTACACAGGGAAGGTCAAACATACATATAATGAAAGAGTTTCTGATACAAAGGAGATGGGTGAACTTAGCGTGCAGAAAGCCCACTAGCTTCAGATATATAAAAGTCATATTCAAATTGTGAATTAAGTATCTGGAGTAAAGTTCTCATTATTGATTTTTATGAAATCATGATAAACAAAAAGTTTTGAGGAAAATGTTTCGTTAAAATTTATTCTTTTATAAAAGAAAAATAATATGGTATCCATTGGGTTCGAACCCTGGTAATAAAAATCCTGAGTTGCATTCTCTATTGAGATTAGTACGCTAACCACTACGCTACACAAATCCTGATGAAGTGTGGCATTTAAATCATGTTTGTGATATGACCATTGACTTAAGGGACTTCAAGTATTTCTTGAAAAGATACGAAAGTTATGTCATAAAATTATATTTTAAAGGTATAGTGGGTCTTTGCTCCATAATTTTGAAAACCAAAATATGTATGTTTGTATGCAAAGTTTGAGGATTAACTTTCAAAACAATGGAGAGAAGACCCACTCATATCGGAAAATAGTGTTATAGTGTGAAAAAATGACTCGTTTTGTCCTCTTTCATGTGTGTATAATATTTCATAGGCAAATAACTTCAATCTTCATGAGATTTGTGCAAGTTCAAGTTGTAGAGATTTTACATAAAGTATACTTTAATGTTAGATGAAATATTAAGGAGAATTTTGATATAATTGAGATTTTATTTTTCACCTTCATGTTTGTTGCGCTATGGGCTTATCGCTCGTCATGTTCACCCATCCATCTCCTTTATATCCTTGTACAACTGCAGACTCACCGTTACCTTTAGAAATGGACGATGACGACACATATTTACTTGTTGATCCTTTGGGTCTCCCTCTTTTTCTGCTATTCAATTTTGTCGGTACATGTATAGTCTTGATCTGGAGTATCAAAAATCATCTTTTTTTACATTGTGAAAGTTAACTTTTCTAAATTTAATTAATACATGCATATGCCATTCAAAAAGAGCTACGTACAACTTCTTTAACTTCTTTAACTTGCAAATGATTTCAAACTGACGAATCGTGAATAAATGATTCAGCAAATAATAGTTGGTTTACAGTAATCTTAACCTCAAAACAGTCGTTATATCGAATCATCAAAAATCAAATCACTGATTAAAAACAAATGTATCAAATTATTTTTGAGGGTAATGTTTTGAAATTTTCCTGTGACATGGAAAGATAACTATGAAAAAAGTAAAACAATATCTTGTCCCGCCACTTACATTCCCACCATGCCCTTCTACATTGAAATGACAGAACCAGACTGAGACATTTTAAGTGACAAGCATGTGACAAAGGAACACTAAATAAGTCTGCCCCCCCCCCCCCCCCCAAAAAAAAAAAGGGGGATCAAATTACGACTTAATTACTACTTCTTTAAATGTGTACGGATTAGGTTGGAGGTCAAATATGAAAACTAATTACCAGTATTTTCTTCTTTTGAGCTAGAATGAACTCTTTGAAATGCTTTATAGTAGAAAATCACTACCAATATTTATAGTAAGCACCCTGTACTATCTTCAAACATTTATTATTATTGAACACTGAGCACATATATAAATGTAGTAATCTTACTCGTTTTGATGATATTTCTTCAATTTCTGAGTCAAAAAAGTCTGGTTTTTGGGTAACCCTCTTTGATTCCTCTGCATCGTTTACTTTATCCTGAGGTGAATCATTACCTAAAATGTAAAATAATGTTTAGTACTTACTATTTAGGGAGTGACAGAATTCACAAGAGATTCTGAGTGAGTGATGATGGACCAAAATGCTCATCTCAGTCACTATGGATGACTATGGACCTGCTGCTCATTCCCAAATAAAATTTTGATCACATATTGTTGCCCCACCTTAACCCTTGGGGTCATGATTTGAACAAACTTGAATCTTTACTACCAGAATATGCTTCTATATCAGTATGACTGATCAAAGTTTTGTTGTTCTTGAGAAAAATAAGCTTCAAGATTGTATTTATATGATTGTAAAACTTTAAATCCATTTAAATACATGTAATACTACGACTTAATCATGGCTTCATAATGTTCATCAAAAAAAAAAAAATTAAGATTTTTTTTTCCTATGTATTTACGTATATCACTTTCAGATCCCCCATTTGAATCTCCCTTGCAATAGGAAGTGCATGGTCCTTTGTTTGAACAATCTTTAATCCACTCCTCCAAACTTTAAGGATGCTTTGTTCAAGCTTCTTCAAAATTGACCACCTAATTGTGGAGAAGAAGTCAAAAATATGAAGTTGACAAACAGACAGACACTTAAAAATAAGATTGATGAAGTATAAAATAAAAGGCAATTTTATAATGGTACTGAGTAATAGAGTTTCTGGTAAGGTCTCATTAAATGTTATTCAGTGGTATAGGAGTTGTGGATAAGAGTTTGTACCCCCATCCCCATGTGCAACAGATGCAGGACAGATGAATCGACAAATGTGCAGACAGATGGACACTCCCATCTCTATACACTGTATATACTCCTGCTGGTTTAATAAAACAATAAAGAACAATCAGGCATTAACTATAAATACTGAATCTTACCTGTTGGGGATTGAGACTGCTTAGAAACATACTCATGTCCACAGGTACAAAACTTGACTGCTATGGGTGCCTTTTTATAAAAAAGAATTAAAAATAGAAGAAATTAAACTGCAGTACTTATTGAAAGTAATTGAATAATTAAGCTGGTTAAAACATCAATCAAAGTTGCATACTCAATGGTAGCTGAAAAACTGTAGGCATTTAATATGGTTTTACATTACATGTATTAGTGTTTGACCATATTTAAATGCTAAAGATCCCGTAATGCAAAAAAAGGTGCAATTTACAGTGCAAGATTTTCTGTGCACTGTTAGAGAGACTTTCTCCACTTTCCAGCATTAGTCATGAAATCATCTACCTTTCACTCCCTAAGTTTAGACACATACGTTAACCAACATGTATATTTTATATGTTTATCTGACTATAAAGGGTTGGGAGGTAGATAAATTATACAGGTTGAATTTAAAATAAGTCTTGAACTTGGGAGTGAAAGGTAGATGGTTGACTTAAATGCTGGAAAGTGGAGAAATTCTCCCTAACAGTGTGCAGAAAATCTTGTGCCAATTGCAACTTTTTTCCATTAAGGGATCTGTAGCATATCATGGTGAAAGACCCTAATGCTACAGTTCTGCAGTTAACTCAATAGCAAGTCTTTTCAAAAAGTTTGTCAGTTTATCATGTTTTCTGGGAAATCAGCATTTGGTGTAGTTGTGGTTATAATATAATTTATATAAACACTTAAATTACAGAATAGTTGTGGTTAACATCCTGCATGCACGTGCATGTATACATGTATGTAAATGTGACAAACTCCTTTGCTTGTGTTTAGATTATGATTAAGTAAATAATTAATGTGTCGTGGTGTATTTTTTTCTGCCATTCTGCCATTGAATTCAGGACAGGGCCAGGGGTAATTCACATGATATGAACTTATGAAGCGTCTGGAGACATATCAGTACATCATAAATATCGACGACCTTGACATAATGAGAATTTATGTCATTAACACATGAATGTGCTACCTCTTTGTTACATTCTGTGCATTTCTTCGTCACCACTTCGCGTCCTTTTCTTCTTCTTCCCATTGTTTACCAATATTTCCCTCTGATATTTCAACGCGAAATTCGACCATCGGATCTTCTTGTTTTTACCGTAAATGATAATGATGAAATCCAAGGAATTCCGATTGATGTCCATCATTCGTAATACCTCAGACACTTTCCTTGCGTCACAAAAATTCAAGAGGAGTTGTCGTTTATATCCGCAAGGGAGCGCTGTAAAGCGGAACTCGGATTATTTATTGTCTCTATGGTGATTTCTTACATGGCTTCCGCATAACAACTGTTTTGCTGTCAGTAATACACATAAGGACATTTAAAGGAAAAAGGGAAAATGGCAGTCGTTGGACAAAATCCATTTCACTGTACAGCAGCGGGAGAACTTGGAGCTCACCGCGAAACAATGTTAAACAACGAATTGCTCCTCAGAGTAAGGATACCACAGCATTTTTATTTAGTTAAAACTTAAACAGTTAAATACCACGTCGCTGTGCAATGATTAACCATGTCTTTCATTTAACAATATTTCTTAAAAATAATATATGCTGTACCTGAATTTTATGGAACAGCAGGGACCTATATACTAGTATGTAGTCCTGCATGGGAACAGTTATATTAAAGAGTGTAGGCTGCCTACATGTACCTATAGCTAAATTTTGTATCGTGTCATAATTCATAAATGCAGATTTATGTGTACACATAAATCCGTAGATTTTGATAAATGTTTAATTATACACGTGTAATTATCATAAGTTTAAACCTATCTTGTATTGTTTTATAGACCGAATTAGGGAAACCAAAGAGACGAGGATATGGTACTTTAGGGGAGGATTTTATTTTTGGTCGCCCAAATGAAGCCAGACACGGTGGTGCAGATGATGGTGAGTTTTAAAAACTTTTCTAAATCATCAAAATACATATCTCAAATATTGTATGTAATACTAGTTATAAATAAGCTCATTATATTCCCACATAATCACTGATTTTGAGAAAAATATTTTCTTAATCATGAATGGGTTTCAATGCTATCAGCAATAGCAGTAAATCTATGGAACTAAAATTCACTTGTTTTGCCTTACACTTTACAGACATAATTGTAAACCAATTGCAAGTGTCTTAGTAGGAGCATGTCTCAACAATATATGAATTAAAACATTTAACCACTTCAAATCCTTAACAGTGGGGTCGTACTGTAAAATTCACACGGTGATTGGTGAATTGTGTCTATAGCAGATACATAAACCTGTCTATACAATAGCAAGAGTAAGTAACTTGATACATATTTACAGCCTTGCATGGTTGGCCAAGGAACCTTTCCACAACTACATTACCATTTGCAAGAAAGGACAAAAAAGCAGAAAGAGATTTTATGGCTCTCAATAAAGCTGCAGTGCAAAATGGACTAGTCACAGCTGGAGAAAATTATGAATTTAGAGCGACTCATGATGTCCGCCGAAAAACAGCTGGGTCAGAAAACACAAGGCTGAGGACAAGAAGAATACCACCAACAATGGTGTTCGGAATATCTACAAGGTAGCTATTTTGTTAAAAAATTTAAAACTGTTTTCAGACTTAATTTTGAATTCCAATACTTGTACAGAATAAAGATAAACATTTTTGTCTTGTAGGCCATCTACTCCAATTTTTGATTTATTAGAGCACAAATACCAGGATAAATGGTTACAGCAAAGAAGACAACAGGAATTGGCAAAAAGGAAAGAAGAAACACAGGTACTTAAGCTTAAATAAAAATGTAATTTTGCCATGAGTAAAATATTTACTCGTGTAATATGCACTTTGAGAAACTGCAAATTGAAAATAAAGCTCACATGATCTGGTAAACATTTCTACAGTTTTCATTATTTAAATGTTTTAGGTACAATATGTTAAAAATATAATGTTGTTTTTACAAAAAAAACATATATGTAAAATTAACTTTAAGAATTATGCTATACATATATCAATATTTACTTAGTGATACTATAATTGATTTGAAACTGAAACACAATGGTTCTCCTCATTAGAATCCAATAATGCCTGAACCCAGACTATCACAATCAGCAGGGCCATACCCAGTTGTGAGTGTTGCAAATTGCAGCAAAATTGTGTGGTGGTTTTTTACCCTAAAAGATGTAGAATTTCACTTTCTGCGCTTTTTGAGTTTATGTAAAAAATCATATATCACTTGTGTATATTACAATATATTTAACTCCTATAAATATTAGATACATTTCAAACACTTAACAAAAACTTCTTAACAATTTAATTAAAATATAAACACTTAAAACTAAAAGTTAGCAATTAAATGTTAGAAGTGAAAAATAAAATAAAAAAAAAAAAAAACAACAATTTTCATGAACTCAGAGACCTTTAGGTTTTTTTTTTTTCTCGAAAAAAAAATGTAACTTCTTTGTTTATTAACAGCTAACTTCTTTGTACTAACTTAGTTATTTTCCCCCTGAACTTTGATGCAACTGTGTGGCTTAAGTTTGAATGTGCAGAATTAATATCCAGTGTGATTATCCTTCAAACTATGTAAAATTATAGCCATTACACAACTATACATAGACTTCTTAAATATCAGAGACTAATCTGAATTGTATAACTACATATTTTGTCTAACAGAAAAGGAAACACTTATGGGCAATGAAGGTACATACTGAATGCAAAATTATATACTATACTTTTACATGTATGTGAATGGCTTGTATCATGTTTCTTGATTCCTCGACATGAAATTACCTTGGACATAGTTACATATGCTGCATAGGATGTCCCCATTTCATGATATTACTGTAGCTTCTGAACTGATATGCTGATGCATGAAAAATCTGGCTTTGATCAATTTTTTACATTAATGTTTTAAGTGTTAGTAAATTTGCTATGAAGCATGCTTGAAATGATGTTTCATTCTCTATCAACTATAGTGATGCTAAGGCTACTTGAAAATGGCCTATGTACGCATTTCCATTGCTCTAACTGGAAAATGTCAAAGTAAAGGTGATGGAGAGTTGCTGATGCGAAATTTCACTACATTACGCCTAAACAGGGTCTTACGTATCATATTCATTAAGGAAAGCCCTAGTACCGGGAGTCCAAGGGTGGCTACACTGCTCTAAGTTAGAGAAAATTCGATCTAATCATCTGAAAAACGGGCATTTAAAAATGCCAAAGAATATTTCCTTTGCTTAGATCTCGATATTAATGAACCTATTGTATCGTAGAAATTAAGCTGCAATTGTTGTTTAGGGCAGTCTTGCATGTTTTACATGAATGGCTGGGAGGGGGGTGTTTTAACAGTCATATTTTACTTAGTAAAGTAAACAGATAAACATTTAACATTTTTATCAAATCTCTGATGTTCTGAAAAGTGAGTTTAGCCTTACTTTATTCGCTTTTGAATATCATAAGATAAAAAAAATCAAACATTTGTAGATTACTGCTTGTTGCGTTTCTTTTGCGTGTCAGTATATATTATCTGTCACTCGCTACAATAAATAATAGTAATTAACTGATGCGGTTTCCAAATTTAAATAAAAAGGAAGGGGGTCGAAGTAACATTCATGCCCACCTTCTTTCGATAAGAAATGAAGATATAATCCTAAATCACAGAGCTCATCTCATCGAATGTTGTCTTTAAATATGGCAAAGTCCCACAATGAACTAATTATCAAGAAGTATGCATCCCTATATGTAACATTTGTGTATTTTTGGTCTGAAAAGGCTTGTAGTTACTTGAAATTGGACATCGAAATCATTAAACTAGTCATTATACATGTAATGCAAGTTAAATCCAGCATCTTTACCCTGTTTACTTATCTGAAAAAGGTAAGTCAGGTTAAGCATCAGAAGCAATTTTAAGCAAGTCCAGTAGTGTGCTTTCTTAAATGTAGCAGTAGAATTCATGCAAATTTGATCAACATAAGGGTTACTTGGAAATATAAGATCTGTTTCAAAGCTTTTACCCTGGTACCTGGAAAATGAAGGTCAGATCCAGCATTATACTTAAGGCTTATACCGGTTGTTACCTGGAAATGAGATCTGGCCTCAGGATCATGAAACAAACTTAGACTTATGTCAAATTTTCAAACGCCTATGAAATATTTATTAATTATGGAATTTATTTCTAAATTTGCAGATAACAACAACTCTGTGAAACAATACTGAAAAATGTCTTAATTCTGTTCTGCTTGACGTCTACAACATTTTAAGTCTTACTCAAAATCTTTATTTTATAATAAAATGTTGTAGACGTCAAGCAGAACAACAAATCCAGCATATCTGTGTGAAGCCTTATAATATCACCCATGCAAGTTTAGTCAATATAGCCACTAAAACATCAACCTGGTCATTCTTTGCCTGAAATTGCATCTGAAACCTTGGCGGGTACTATGAAACACACTAGAAGCATTGCGGCATAGAAGTACATGTACTTAAAAGAAATTCGCTCCCAAAAATTTACCTCGGACGCCGTTACCAACGCCGACGGTATTACATAAGCTCCCAAAACTTGTTGAAGTGAGCTAACAAAAAAGATGCACGGACCCTTATGTTCACTGAATTTCCTAATTTGCACCATCTGTGTCCTTTCTTCAATGAACAAAGGGTTTGTGCTAAATAGCTTATCCTGCCGATCGCGTGCTTTTGACGAACTCTTTAACAGCGGGATACACGACATTTTAACGGGTTTTCGGACCTTTACAGAACATTTGTTGACATTTCAGTGGAAGAATTAAAATTTGTTACCTGTAATAAAATTCAGTGAAGATATTTTTTTCAGAGATAGTTTTATTGTTAGGATGAATGTTATTCATCAGTGATAAGCAGCAGTTTAATGACCTTAATTTCAACACATTTGAGGTTTCCTACACTTAGCATAACATGTATAAATTGTTATAAGATTAACAAAAACCTATCAAAATCAAAATTCCTCTAAGGTATCCAATAAATCTTCCAAAATGTCCAAAAATTCTCAACTAGAGTGTGTATTTGTCCCGCTGAAAAGTCCCATTTCAATTCGCTATTTTTTATATTAACCTCGAAACAGCAGAAGATACACGAGAGAGAGAGAGAGAGAGAACATTCTTTGATTTCAAATCTTAATTACACAGTGCCTGGTAGGAACAATTAGTTGAAAAGCAACTAGAAAATCAAACCAAGCATTTTTACACAAATCTGTGTACTGATTAGAATGAAAAAGCAAGTGAGCGTGTCGCTAAAAAAAACCCAAAGCAAAATCTACATACCGGTACATGACATTAAACGAGCTAGTGCATATGACTTTAAGACTTATCGTATATTCAGCATGTTCAGGGACTTTAATGTACATACAGTCGTATACTTTGTTTATACCTTTATTGTAAAAAATACAATATAGATGTACCGTTATATATAACTTTGTGAAATAAAATTTCCGCTGTCATACATTATCCACTAAAGCAAAAAATGTACACGCACAAAGTCTGGAGACTGACAAGCTAAGTACATTGCCTTAACCTGTTAAAGGGCTAAGTAATCAATAATATTTTAATTTGAAACATATTCCTTTTCATATTCCATATAAAGTTATTTTAGGACCAATAGCATCTTGTACTTGTAACAAGATAATATGCATGATATGAATTGCTGCATTGGTTCCGATAGAATCTCCCTCTCTCTCTACTAGTAAAAACCAAATTGTGTATTAAAACTTTTTATTTCTATCTTTTTCATGTACATGTAGAGTTTACTTGCCTGAAAACCCAGCAGAATGGCTAAATACCAGGGTGGAGATTCGTCCACTTTGTATAGAAGATTGTCATTAGATGGAGTCTGGCGCTCCTCCTCTATTTCCACGGAGGCTTCGCTGCTGCCGTTTTGTTTACTCGCCATTTTGACCTGTGTGCCTCTACAAGCAAAGAACGGAAATTTTACAAAATCACAGAAATAGGTCATTGTATGTTTATATGGACGCTCACTGATGCGCGAAATTCTTCTGACCAGGGTCTCGGCGGGAGAGATCCCACGAGCATTAATCGCACGGCCATTACGCTAATTAGATAAATAGCCACAATCATGCATTTTTCATAAATAGATGTAATTGTTCCTTAAAGGATATACTGAAGTTAAGCATATTAACACATTAATGAATGTATTTACACATTTGTTGCCATTTTTCTCTCATATAAAGATGAAAAATATATTATTCATTTATACAGGCAAAGATATCCATTGCACTTTTAACCTTGAACACTACGGAATCAGGTTTGTTTAACACTGCATGTTTTCCATCCTTTTCTATCCAACTGCATGAGACTTAAATTATTTTAGTGATAACCAAAATGTCAGCTAGGCTATGATAGCACGCATTAATTATAAAGTTTTGAAATTTTAAAAATTATAAGAAAAAGTTTAAATAAATTAAGCCTCACTCATTTGAGGTGCTCTATTTCCAAGAACTACCAACTTGTCTCAACCGGTGAATATAGTGCATTAAATATGGCCTGTATAAATGTTGTTTATGAAATTTCTCTTGAGTGACAATTGAGAAGAAATTAAATTACTTTGGAACATACTGTTCCTAAAGGCCGGTATACACGATGAGATTTGTAGTATAATACAAGTATTATAATACTTTCTTCTACACACGATAATACATATTTTATAAGATTGTAAATAAACTATTATTCCCACGTGTTTTCTCCTGTCATATTTCTCTCTCTGTCAAAATAATAAAAACGATAATAATAAGCTCTGCTTCTAGCGTCTTTTTGTGGTAGCTACAGCTTGATATATTCCACAAGTCCTCTTCCCCTTCCCATAAAACCACGAGTTTTTCGATAGCTTTACTCGAAAAGTCGGCCATTATTATTTACCATGTGCTTTATTTAGTAATGATATAAATAGGATGACCCCCAATGTGAATACATTTGATTGGTTGAAAGTAAAAGGTGAGTTAAGACTTATATTAGGAAATAGAGCATTGCTCTATTCTTAATACAGTTTTATAAGATTCGAAAAATCTTATGATACACTGTATTAAGAGTGTATACACAGTAAGATTTTGTATTAGAATACAAATCTTATAATACAAATCTTACCGTTTATACCGACCTTAAGTTGCATTAAGTCCTTTATCATAATTTTAAAACATCAACTCGATGCTGTGACTAGAAATGCTTACCCGGTCAACCAAGTTTTATACATTGTGTATTTTACGCGAGATCGACATTTTCAAAACAATTGATAAGCATAAATTCTAAGCTAGCCCGCAAGCGGTGACATTTTTTAAATTACAGCTCCAAGTACACTGAAAGGAACATTATATACATGTATGAGTAGTGACGGAGTCCTCATTCGTAGATCGCTCGCTCCGTGATCGGAAGATTGAGTCCTGACCGCGACTGATTTAGATCGATAAAGAACTGGTAACAACTGTTCCTTCACCAAGGGCTTTGATTGATTGATTGTATGCTGATTTACGTCCAAGTCGAGAATTTTTCAACCAAATATATTTACATTCGCAAATGTTCAGGCAAGAAGCAACAGGGGGGGGGGGGG